ATCATGTATCTGGGGTCTAAGAGCTTGGGTTTCAATGCCCACATAGGCAGAAGGTGGACTCCTGAGCCTGGGTAAGACAGAAATCTGAAAATATGACCCACCTCATAAAGTCAGATGATAATAAGGGAGTTCTGGCGGGATGTTGGAAGGAGATTGTCAAACAGATCCATCAAGCACAATGAAGAGAGAGGAACAGACCCGCTTACAGACAGGGATCTAGCCAAGGAGAACCATGGCAGCACACTCAGTGGTAACACAGCAGTGCAAGGTAAATAGTGCTAAGACAATTGCTTAACCCTGAGAAGAATTAGGTTTCTGCCTCACACTACCCATTTTAAACAGTTAATAGGTGTGATTGATGTGCAATAAGCCACACATAGGAAAACACCCAGTTGGATGAATGTTGACATGTGTACAGAACCACGATCAAGATCATGAATATATTGACCAACGCCACAGGTTTCCTAGCCCTCCCCCCATTTTCAATCTTTTATTCTCACCCCAGCCCTTGTCCCAGGCAAGCACTGGTGTTTTTCTATCTTTATAGATAAGAGTTGAATTTTCTTGACTAATATGTAAATGGAATTATAGCATATGTAATTGTTTTTTCATCTCAATTTATTCACTCACCAAAATTAATTTGAGACTCATCCAATATGGTATATGTCAATAAACCTTTTTATTGCTAAAATGTATTTATAATACAGATCTCCATTTGCCAATTGGTGGGAATTTGGGTTGTCACCAGTTTGGACTATTTCGAATAAAGTTGCTATGAACATTATGTGTGACATATGTTTTCATTTCTCTTGGTTAAGTACCAATGGAATGATGGGAGATAAGGTAGGTGATTGTTAGACTTTTTGAAAAATTATCAAGCTTTTCCTTGAAGTAGTTGTATCATTTCCTATTCCCACTAATAGCACTCAGGCGTTCTAGTTGCTTCCCCTCCTTCATGCTATATGCCAGACACTGCTGGGGAGGATGAAATAAAGTTGGTAGCTATTGGTTGGTTCATTTTTCTTATATTTATTTATTTAGGTACTGGGGATCTAGTCCAGAGCCTCATACATACTAAGCAAGGTTATGCCACTGAGCTACACCTGCAGTCTTTTCCCTTTTACAAAAAGAACCAAAGTACGAAGGTTTTAACAGTGGAATGAGCATTGCAAAGTAGAGAGTCAAACCAACAACTATGTGCCAGACCCTCTRCTGAGTTTCTTCCTCAATTTAAGCCTCAATCACTGGCTTCATCATCTCCAGGGGGAGCTCAGAATTATGTGGCTCACACTTTAAAACTAACGAAAAATTTGCCACGTGCTTTCTTTTATTGTCAGTCCAGGAAATGGACCAAGTTACACTTAATTTGTAGTTCTTTTGGGAAAACAATTGCTCAAAAAATAAGAGATGATTAAATTTAAAAATAGTTCAGAGCTACAAAATCTAATTGTTATTATTAAAGGAAAATTTTAAAGGTCATATTCTTGATCCATAACACATCCAGATTTCACAGAGTTAACTCAAAATAAGTTTCACATGTATAATGACCAAAAGGTCAGCTTTTCAGAAAGAAGGACACAGTGACATTTGTGGTTCATGCACCTAATTAGAGCTGTAAATTATCTGAAGCAAAACCCAACAGAACTAGAAGAGAGACTGAATGTTTCTGTCATATTTGGAAAATGTAATAATGCTCTTTCAGTAATTGATAAAGAAGATTTTTTTTTTAAAAAGGGAAAAAAGAAGGATTAAAACACTGTAATTTTCTATAGTATCATTCCAAAATGGCAGACTTGATAGTCTTTACAAATTTTCAGGAATTTTCACCAATTTAGATGCTATGATTCTTCCAGAGGTTCAATTCTACACATACTTGTGTCTGACCACAACAGAATAAAATCACACACCCAAAATAACACTTTTTTAGAAAGTCACAATCTTCTAGAAACATACCTCCAAATGACCCACATATCAAAGAACACAGAATAGGTCAAAGAACACAGTATAGGCCAAACAGAGAATATTCAAATTAAATAATAATTAAAAAACAAAATATGATAATTGTAGAGATGCAGCTGAACACTGCAGTGTTCAAAGGAAAACTCTAAATTCTCATATTAAAACAAATTGTTAGTGATTAGAAAGAAAGAAACAGTGATGATAAAAGAAGGAATCCATATGGAAAAAAAAGAATAACAAATCAGAAATTTAAATAGGCCAGAAAGTTTTTGTGTATGAAAAGATTAATAGAGTTGATAACAAAACATAAAAAAAGGAATGAGAAAAATTAACATCAGGAATAAAAAATAGCTTATTCCCACTGAACCTACAGATATCAAAAGGATAAACAAGAGAGTATTTTTAAAAACATTATGCTGATATTGACAATCTTTAACAATATATAAGTTTTTGAAAAACAAAATTTACTAAACCTGACAAAACAAGAAAGATAAAAACTTAATATCCCATTATGGTAAATACATTTAATTTGTAATGAAAAACCTCAAAAACAACAACACAAACAATTCAGATCTAAAGAGTTTCTATCATATATTTAAGTAAAAAATTTTATCAATCTTTTTTTTTTTAAAAAATATTTATTTATTTATTTTAGTTCTCAGCGGACACAACATCTTTGTTGGTATGTGGTGCTGAGGATCGAACCCGGGCCGCACGCATGCCAGGCGAGCGCGCTACCGATTGAGCCACATCCCCAGCCCCTTATCAATCTTTTATTAGCTCTATTCTTAAAACATACAGAGGAAGATGTAATCCCAGTGGCTCAGGAGGCTGATACAGGAGTTTTCCAAGTTCAAAGACAGCCTCAGCAATTTAACAAGGATGTAAGCAACTTAGCAAGAATCTGTCTCAAAAAAAAAAAAAAAAAAGAAAAAGAAAAAGGAATGTGGATATAGCTCAGTGGTAAAGCACCCCTGGGTTCAATCCCTAGTACCCTCCTTCAAAAAAAAAAAAAAAATAAGAAACATGTTTACTCCATAAAGACAGTATTGCCCTGATTTCAAAATTTGGTGATGACATTTCAAGAACACTGAGAATAATGCTTCTCATGAACAAAGATGTATCAATTTGAAACATCAGGAAGCCAAAACTTTCAACACTGAAAGAGAAATGCAGCATGACCTACTTGGCTACACATCAGAAATGGGAGACTGGCTTAATGAATCACGTCAACAGAATAAAGGAGAAAAACATTTATTAATTCAGTATTTGCAGTAAAAGCACTGGACAAAATTTGACACACTTCCACACAGTGTAGGAATTAAAAGTAACTATCTCCCTTGGAAACTCTACAGTTGATTTGATACTTAATGGAAACACTGAGAACTAAGTTGTCCATATCTGCTCTCACCACCAGATGAAGAGCACACCTCAGCCCCTCCTTCACAAGAAACACAACAATGGATTCAAGAAGGATCACAGTGTTTAGGATGTAATAGAGGAAATGAGATAAGCTACTCTGAGGATGTAATTCTTACAGAAAAAAAAAAAAAAAAAAAAAAAAGAACCTTCATCTGAACAGGATTTTACATGCCAAAGAAACCTCAATGAAGTGGTGGAAAGAGGGATACAATTACAATGAGAGGGGAAATGATAATATGCACAGAAAATCACACTTTTATTATCAGAAAGTTATTTTCAAGGCTATCTTTCAGGAATTAAAATGGACAGTGGGAGGAGGCTTTGTAACAGGTAAGTTTAGACCTCTGTTTATGACAACCAGTATATAATGAGGACTTCACTATAAGCTCATCTTTCTCAGGTCTTCTCCTTCATTCCCTTGTTTGCTCTTGGAGCCAACTTTAGGAAGTAAGCCCTGTTATTCCACTCACTCACTCACACAGCCATCAACTAAATGACTATCTCAAGCTCACAGGATGAAGAGTTAGAACAGAATTAAATTTATCATAAGATATATACGTATGTATATACCTGCACATGCATACAATGTATACATGTATATATGTATATATGTATGTATTCATTCACAGGGATATTCACTTATCTATGGCTTAGCTACTTTTCACATATACAAGTAGCTATGCTTTATGGAAAAAAAAATCTTTTTGAAGAAAATACAAACTAATACTTTTTAAATTCAATTACTCTTATGTATGCAATTGATCTTTAAATTGATACTGACACCTTAAAATAGGTGAATGGCTGCTTATAATATCCTTTTAAATTTAATAAAGTGCTGTGAAATTACTATCTCTGATCTGAATCGATTTTATTTTTCCACAACTTATAGACGGGTTCTTCACTTGTGAAGAGATGAACCCTCCCAAGAGCTGAATATAAGTGGTAAATTTTCCTCCCCCATATCCTGCTGGCCTGAAACGTGGCAGCGCCATACCTGCTGCACCTCTGGGTGGTGCTCGGAATCCCCCGACTGACACACCGAGTCAGCACCTAGGGGACACTTCTCTGTCATGTATGTGCAGGGACAACAGTCTGATGTGCTCTCCCTGTCACTCTACGCCGGGGCTGTTTATTAGCACTGGGGCCCTACCTGCACAGTATCTAGCAGATGAAGTATGAAGGTTGCCTCTTACCCCCAAACCCTCTAACACACTACACGGTTTCATCTAGAAAGGACAGTATAAAGTATAAAGGTTACTGTTTAGGGTAGGATGACCAGAGGTATTAATGATAGAAATTAATTTTTTTCTAACATGTGACCCACTCTGACCCCATTGATGGCTTCCTCAGTATTGTCCACACCTTCCCCATTTGGCCATAGGGGGAAGGGATCTGAGCATACCTTTGTGTTTCCTGCACCTACCTGCACACTAGCTTACAGTTTTCAGTCTGGCTTGTGTTGAACACTTGGCTTTAAAAAGTGGACCAAAAAATACTGAGGAATCAGAGACCACACAGCACAAACTCCATAAATACTGCCTTAAGATATTTTCTCTCTAAAGTTGCAGCAATGTCCTCTTAATCACTCAGATTAAAATGCAGCCACGAGATAAACTTACCCTGGCTTTGTGTCATTCACTACACAGTGATAGGTAAATGTTCCAAACATCTGAACTCCCAAAATTCCATAAAGAAGTAGAAAGAAAAGTAGGAAAATTGAAACGCTCCATATTTGTTCTCCTGATCGCCTAGGGGGAAAAAAAAACAGGGTAAGTAGGTAAAAACAAAAAATCTCATAGACTTGCCTCCTTAACTTAGGTAACAGCAGTGCTTACTTTAAAATATTTGTAATCCGGGTCCTTGGCAGTTCAAATCGGAAATAAATCCGGAATGCCCGGATCATAATTAGTGGCCGTGGGATCCTCAACATGCCCCAAGGTGACATCTGATCAACTATATCAGCAATTTCAAACACCTGCAAGTTAAGTGATAGTTTAAAAGTTTAGATCTTCCTTTAGCATTGCTTATAGTCATGGAATATACACACAACAGCAGAAAGCACACCCTGGACCTTGAATTTAGCCCCACATTATTTATTGCCAAAATCAGTTTTCTTCTGGCTACATTTTGAAACAATAGGTATTTTTTCCATATTTTTTTTGGTGCATTATCGTTGTGTTGTGCATAATGGTGGGATTCGTTGTTATACATTCCTGTATGCACACGATATAACATCTGGCCAATATCACTTCCCAGGATCTCTCCTTTCTCTTCCCTTCTCCCCATGCCTCCCTTTCCTCTACTCTACTTAGATTCTCATGAGATTCCTCCCCTTCCTTTCTTTCTTCCTCTATAAAGCTATAGCTATATAAGGAGAAACAAATATGTAAGCTAATGAAAGTGCAATAAATCCTGTTTATTTCCTAATTAAATGAGGTATAGTTTTTATTTAAAAAGTATGTGCCACTCAGAACAGAATAAGTTGTTAAGGCTTTCTTACTGAACAATGTTCTTTGGTGGGAATTTTTGAATACATAGAAAATAAATGAATGGAAAAAAACATCAAAATATTATTAAAAGTATGGAAAAAGAATCTTATCACTAATAGATATAAATGTTAATTAGAAAATATTTGTCTAACACACAAGCTACTAAATTAATGTGTGAGATGAAATGAAATTGTTGGAGATGTGCATTTTATATTAAGGACAGGTTATCAAAAACCACAGATGACTAGGCAAGATGGCCTATGAATTTCTTTTAGTCTCAAATTTTAAATGAAGAGTAGGTGAATAAACTCCAGAAATCTGCTGAACAACATTATACCTATAGTCAGTAATAATGTATTGCACTTAAAATTTTGCTGAAAAGGTAGATCTCTTGCTGTGTTCTTCAGTTTTTTATGTTTCAAATACAGAAATCGTACCCCACATCTTTTTCTTTATTTCACTGACTATATTTTTATATTTGTTTAGTGAGAAATAATTTCCATTTCTGAGTGAGAAATAATTCACAAATGTAACCAACACTAATTAAAATGTAACAATTAGACTTTCATCTCAATAGACATTTAAAGAAATGTCATAGGAAATTACACAATCACATTTGATATATGTTCTTTAATATTTCTTTTTAAATTTTCAATGCAAAATCATACCCATTTTAGAAAATACCCCCCTCGTGATTTAAAAATATTTAATTACCTGTAACACCAGCGAAACCCAAAGGCAAAAGACCATAAATCCATCAAAAACACACCAGCGATCTTTCACATAGGAATTATCCCCCTAAAATTAAATTTCACATAGCATTATCAGGTAAAACGAATAGTATTTAAAAAAAATTCTGTGGAGGGAATAGCAAGTGTTAATTCAGTAAAACTCACCAATAATTTTCGTATCATAATAAGCAGACTTTCAAGAGGAATACTTCTGGCATTTTAAGCAGCATTATTAATAAGAAGAATTATTTATGAACTACAAGAAACTGCAGAATTTTGAGTGTAAAATTTTTAATTTATGCAAAAGGAAAACATCACTCTTTGTTCAATTAACCACACAAATTCTAGAGCTTAAGCAACAGAGGCCATCTTTCTTAACTAGGCCACTTAGGTCCCATGCCAGCTCTTCCTGCAAGAACAATAGCACACACTGGTCTGCATGACAGCCATTAGAACTGCTTGATCAACCACCATGAGTGGGAAGTCAGCTCAAGTGATTAAAATATGTGCCTCAATTACAAAGAAAAGCATAATTGACTTTTTCTTTAATTGTGATTTTGTATGTAAAAGAAAGATAAAAAAGATGGATTCATTTCTTTTTTAATAGGAAATCTATTCTGATGCTAGAATGCATACTGTATAAAAATTGGAAAATTTAGGCAATAATTTCCTTTGGAATAACAATAGGGAAGATGCATCAAGTTGGAACTGGAAACCTTTGCTTTCATATGACTCTCCCAGTAAGTCACTAGTTCTTCAATCATTCATGTAACTCAATTCCCAATTTAGTCACGTAGATCATTACCATCTTGGACTGAACTTGCTACGAAAATAAAATGGGAGCACAATGTGAACATTTTAAATAGAATATGAAATATTTTGCAGGGTATTTTAAAAAATAATTTCCATAGCCTTCCACCTTTAGTAACAAATAGATTATTAAAATATTTCCTTGAAAAACTTCCAGGTACAATTTATATTGTTCATAATATCATATGATAAAACACTTAATAAGGTTATCTCAGATAATTTCAGTAACTTCATATCTCAGGCCCAGATATGGAATATAAACTTGGCAAGCCTGTTTTACAAAAGATGTCTAATGAATGACTACCAAACACACACACAGACAACACCACCACCAACAACAACTGTACCACCAGCATCTTTTGCAGAAACACAGATATGAACGAACCCAACTAATACACAGAGCAGAATAACTTATAATAAAGCTATAAACATGGTGGGAGAAATGAGAAGCTTTATTCTGTGGAGAGTTCACAGCTTCCAAATAAATGTGCAAATAATTTTATCAGTGGCAAGACAATCAACAAAGCTGGTGACTCAGGTGTTCAAGAAAACTCACAAATGAGATATCTGAAACCAAACTCTTGAGGCTTGGGACTGGGTGACGAGGAGGACAATGAACCTAATTTAGTAGGTTCATTAATTTATACTTATGATTTATACTCCAAGAAGAGAAAAACTACATCTGAGGGTCCTGTAGGCTGTGTGTACACACAAACACATATGCACGTACTGAATATAAAACCATTTAAAATTATTAGTTATCTTCAAAGCCTCATGGAACCTGGTTTACTAGGAGCATCATGTCTGATTGTTTTGCACAATTATATGAAAATATAAATCAATAGTAATTTGTATACATACATTATAGCAGTATAGCCAATATGAAGTTGAATCCTATCTGAGTCTAATTTTGATTAACATTCAAAAAAATTATGGAACAATTATTTAAAGTTGCTTTCCAAATTCACTCATCCACTGAATGTATAGAATACTTCTAGAATTTGGACAGTGATCAAGAACTAGTGATTAAGGAATGAAAAAAACAAACAAACAAACAAACAAAAAAAACTCCTGTCCTTTTATAGTTTTCATTCTCAGTTAATTTTCCAAAAGAAGATGAAAATAGTTCTCATTAGAGACTATTTAAAATTGGAACAATTAAAAAGTAAATGTTAGGCAGGAAAAAAATAATTATAGATCACTGGATTCAGAGGTACCCAAATAGGATAAGTTCATATGACATTTTTCCAAATCACTATTAATATTTTGTTTCTCTTTGTCATTAAAAGTGTTATATATGTAGTGTCACTACATTTATCCTCTTTTACTGCTCATCATTTGCTTTAGTCATGAATTAAATTAAGTATGACATAGGATGAGAGCTTGCATTACACTGAGGATTATTTAAAATGTAACATGTGAGTTTAAACAATCGTATTTCCCTGGGAGCCAGGGAGTGTCAGAAACCTGTGGCAGAAGGGGAATATAGTTTCACAATGTGTCCTGATGTATATGTGGGTGTGTGTCTGTGTGTTTTACTTATGTTTGTGTGATAATTTTAAAAACAGATTTCCAAAAATAAGTTTATAGAAAGGTGAACATTTTAGCCTTAAAAAAAAAAATCACCTTTTCAGTTGTCAGAAATAGAGTCAAATGTTAACATTTGGGCCTCACAAATTCAGAATGCATGCTCATCAGTAACAGAGGAGACTGAATTTTTGTTTGTTATGTACTACATCAATCTGTTTGCTAAGGAAATTGATGTGGAAAAGCTTATCCACAATATATTCCAAACTACATAAAAGGATGGATTACATTTCAGCCAATTTAGAAGTATGGGTGATGATTACAAAAGCATATAAATATTTAATTTCAAAACGACCTCATACTGTGAAAACTGGCTTAGCAAAATGTTCATTAGATAACAGAGAAAGCTATTTTTTAATTAATAAGTGATTTTAATTGAATTGTTGGAAAAGGTTTCTGCTGTTGACCTTCCAGAGTTTGTCATGGGGTTTGCTGTCACCAACAAGCCCACGGCATGCTGGATGGCACRAAACAATCAATTAGACCTGATCTATTTTTACTTTTTCCTGTAAAATATGGAAGTAATTCTCTGTGCAAAATTTTTAATTTGTTTTCAAAAATATTCATAAACACTTTTACAAAACAGTATTATTTACCCAGAATACAAAGACCAATAACACACAGTGTTTTTCTTTTTTTTCTTTCTTAACCTTTTCTTCTTAGCATTCTTTTTTTGTTCCATAGCTTTACTGAGTAAAGTTGAAGTCCAATAAAATGAACATATTGGAAGTATGCAATTTGATCAATTTGATATGTATGTAACCAATACAATCAATATGAAAAGCAGTTCCATTATTATTTTCTTTAGTTTGAAATTATGTGGACTGTTTCCTGCATGATTTATTACATTGGAAATCAATCACTTAAGATATATAAAACCCCACCCCCACATGTCAACTATTTCCAAATTAAATAGCACACTTATAAATATCTCAGAGGTCAAGGAAGAAAGTACAAGAAAAGTAAATAAAAAATGCTTTGAACTAAGTGATAATAAAAGCTCAAAATATCAGTATCTCTGGGGTGAAACAGTACTCAGATGAACATCTATAACTTAGAATTATATAGGAAAGACAAATAACAGTAGGAGCAGAAATATATGAAATAGAAAATAAATAATACAGCTAAACAATACAAATCCAAAAAAGTCTAATCAAGAAAAAAGAAAGAACACAAAAATTAATATCAATGGAAAGGGAGCTATCAAAATAACCCTAGAGATGCTAAAAATATATTAAGGTAATATTACAATTGTATGCCAACATATGTGAGAGCTTACATAACATGGTCTAATTAGAGAAGGATCTGTGCACTACTGAGAAGAAAGTGTATTAAGTCATTAGATGAATGAAATATGCTATATATGTCTGTTAATTCTAAATTATCAATGATATTTTTTACTTCTATAGCTTCTTTATTTAGTTTTTGTTTGGAGGATCTATCCAGTGGTGACCAAGGCATGTTAAAATTACCCAGTTGTGGTCTATATGATTCTTGAAATTGAGAAAGGTTTGTTTGATATACATAGATGCCCCATTGCTTGGGGCATAAATGGGCATCAATATTTATGATTGTTATGTCTTATTGCTGTATAATTCCCTTAAGCAATATGAATGTCCTTTTTTGTTCCTTCTGATTAACTTTGGCTTGAAGTCCACATTATCTGATATGAGGATAGAAACTCCTGCTTGTTTACACAATTCATATGAGTGATATGTTTTTCCCCATCYTCTCACCTTCAGTCTGTGGATTGTCTATGTCGTGAGTCTCTTGGAGATAGCATATTGTTGGGTCTTGTTTTTTAATCAATCTGCCAGTCTATGTCTTTTGATCYATGAGTTTAGGCCACTAATGTTCAAGGATAGTATTGATATATGATTTGTGTTCCCGTTCATTTGGGTTTATTTCTAGCTTTAAATTTGAAAGAGTTTCTCCTTTGATTGACTATTCCTTTTCAAGGTTTCTTAACATCTTCTCTCCATGGTCAACTCTATTTTCAAGCTTATATATTTTGTCTTCACTGCCTGAGGTTCTTCTTCCAAGTGCTCTACTCTGTTGATATGCTTTCTATTGAATTTTCAATTTGGTTTATTGTCTCCTTCATTTCAAGGACTCCGTGTTTAGGGTTTTTTGTTTTTTCCCTAGAATCTCTACCTGTTTATTGAAGTGATCTCTTTCTCCCTGTATTTGCTCTCTTACGTCACCCTTTCCTTCACAGATCAGTTTAACTGTGTGCATTCTAAACTCCTTCTCTGACATTTTTCCCACTGTTTTTGTTGATGGATTCTGTTATTGGTGTATCTTGGTTTGGTTAGGGTGATTTGTTCCCTTGCTTTTTTATGTTGTTTGTATGTCCACTCATCTAACAGTATGAACTGATAGTGTCCCTGAGGTTTCCAGTACTTCACTGTTGAGGGGGAAACAATAAGAACAACCAATGCAAACAATATACAGCATTAAACCAAATAGTTCCTGCTGTAATGCCTACAGCATTAATTATCACAATAAACAGAAATGATATGAAACAAGTTTGCAAAAGGGTTTACAACTTCAAATGGTGGAGAGGGAGAGAACAGAAGTGATAGACGATGTGATGATTATGAGGTAGGAGGAGAGAATGATTAAAGGATGAGTGAAAGAGAGAAAAACAGAGATTGGCTGTCAGCAGAA